TTTGCTTTCTCCGACTCGAAATACATATTTCACGCTGGCGGACATTGATTGAGTGCACGTAAGGAAAGTAATATCGCGAGAATTTACTGGCATCAAGTTTCGTTCAGTATGAAATACAGCAGGAAGAAACCAGTTTTCTCTTTTCTTTAACATTGTCCCATCGTCGAATTCATAATTATCTAATTACCGTTCAGTAATCAAAAAAACTTATTAGGATTTCGAATAAAACCTTAATTATTTCAAAAAACCGTGAAAGCAAGAGTACAACAAAAGATCGCAAGGTACATTTTTATCAATTCTCGTTCGTCAAAAAAATCAATGACTCCAACGTCTCGAAGCTACATCTTGTCTGACTGTAGAAAGAATTTGAACGTATCGGAGGAACCGACGAGAGAATTGACATCGGGGGAAAAAAGGGGAAGTAAGAGAGAAAGGTCAGGACGCGGCTCGTTGCACGTTCAGTGCGACGACAAACGAAGGCAAAGATGACTGGTCGAATTCCTTAAGTGTTGCCCCAATCAGATCCCATGTCACTCGGTTCATTAATCCATTCAGTGGATGAACTTTGAAAAGTTCCCATCCCGCACCATATTACAGAATTACATTTCGTTCGCGCGCTTAATGACGTGAATGCGTAATGGTCCGTTCGAATCGCGGTGCACTCTCGAGCGTGACGAGATCCAATCGAGTTATCATCGTGCACTATATACACACATATATATATATATATGTATATATATATATATATATTTATACCACTCGTAACCCTTTAAGACGCGAAATTCTAACGCGCAATCTTCGACGTGATTTCTGATGCATTCAAATACATGTGATAACTATGTACACATTTGTCCGATGAAAATATGATTTACAAGTCTCATACACGCTGCTTTGCGTTGTTAATCGTGGGAATTTAGAATGCGTCTCATTCGCGAGAAGGACTTTAAAAAGACCTCAAATTTATTTTATGCAAATTATCAGCTTCTTAAATTTCTATTAATTATGGCGCGCGTTAATAAAGAATTAACAGTCGAATCCTTTCGTAAGCAGATTGCATATTTTTCGTTTGTTCTGCGATTAAACTAAAATGTATGCTAAATGAGTAATTAACGGAGTATAAAATTTTATCGTTTTCATAATTCTTTGCTTCTTGAAAAACATACACTGTGTTTGAAAGAGCAGCATTTTTCGTATTAAATTTATCTCAATAATCTGAAAAAAAAAAAAATTACATCTAGTCATCTAATTATTATTGTCAATAATCAGCCCGCATCTCCATACTATCGTAAATAGATAGCACGTCGTGTAAATGCATTTTCTTCTCAGATTTATTGACATGAATTTAATACCGCTCGCGCAATATCCGGCGAGGATTCGCGCGTTAAGAGAGAAAACCGCATTGAGAACGAAGAGGAGCCAACCCCGTGACCGCGCAATGCCAATTCTGCGCGATCGCCCGTCCGCTCGGCCGAAGATTTGCAAACAATGGCGCCGTAGCGCGCGGCGCGTTTTTTTTTCGATGCTGGCTCGATACGCATCGCATTTACATATTATTGCTATTATTAGGTAAACGATCCTCTCCGTCGAGCGTCTCTTTAACACTACTTGTTTGCTCGCTCGCTCTTGCTCGCCCTCTGGGCTATTTTACGACCGTGAGGCTTCCGCGCGAACGAGAGGGCCCTCTCTCCCCGCACTCCGATAAAAACTCTCTCTCTCTCTCTCTCTCTCTCTCTTCTCTCCGACAGTATCACCGGCTCGGCGACAAAAATTGAAGCACCACCCGGGCATCCCGAGAGTGGGTGGCTGAAATTGTAAATAATCGTCCTGCGGGACGATCCTTATCGGTCGTACACGGCGCTATCCTATCCTCGCCGCTGGCGAATAGGCTATCAATGTCTGTGGGATCCGTATCATTTCCTAAACCGATTTTACCATCAACGTTACGTGGATAAACGTGGATAGATTGCGCGTTTCGAATACTAATGAGCGAAAAATTCATAATTGTTATTTTTGAGCAACTATATCAGTTTTCTCGAATCCGATAATAAAGCTTTTTCATAAAAACATACATTGATCGATCGATCTTCTGCCGACGACACTTTGAAAATAAAAATAGAATTAAGAATTGAAGAAGGAAATAAATTGTGGAATTAAATCAATTACATTAATGTCAAATTTAACTTGTTGCGTATCTAACGAATGAGAGTAGAAATTCTAATTTATCTTTTTTTTTATTCGCAATTCATAGAGAAATTTTCTTACAAGCTTCCGACATTGATTGAGACTGGCGTGATTGAATCTCGGCCGTTTTGTGCCTCCAGATATAATTGCTCCGCGTTTCCCGATTAATTCTTTTGAAGACCGGATGCGGCTGCGTAGCTAGACCGCGTGACGCCGGGCCTAAATTAAAGCTGCGCTTTTACAGGCCGAGCGAGACAAAAGGGACCGTGGTGATCCGATAAAACAGAACGTGCAAGATAAAGCTCAACAGATAGACTGAGAGAGGAAAGGCCGAAGAGGGGGGAGGAGGGGGGGGGAACACGGGAGGAAGTTCGGAATCACGGTCAACTGAAAGAGAGGGAAGAAAGACGGAGAAACGAGGAGGGAGAGGGCTGTATGTGAGCGGGGTATGCGCATACAATGGGCGCACCCAGGGGGTGGGGGGGGGGAGAAGAGGAACCGGCGGAGCAAAAGCGGCGAATTAATTGTCGCTCGCGCCGCCGACGAAGCCGTTGCGATCCGCGGCCGATTTGTGGACCCACGCGTATATATCACCGCGGCCACACGCACGCGTGTGCGTGACGGAGCTCCCTCCCTGCTGTCTTCCTCTCTCTCTCTGTCTCTTCTTTTCTCCTCCCTTCTCTCGTTCTCCCTACTTTTCTCCCTTTTCCGTTCGGAGGCTTGCGACGGAGGCTGCAACGACGTACCGAGGTGGTGGTGCTAGTGGCTGACAATGGAAACAAGTCCAGAAAAGGAGAGAATACATATACAAAAAAGAATGACAGAGAATAAAGAGGGCGGGAGAGAGAGAGAGAGAGAATAGGGAAAGGGGGGAGATAAGGAAGAGAAAAATGAGTTGAGAAATTAGGAATGAGAGAGCGAGAAAGAACATATGCGACATACAAAGGTGAATTTTGAGGACGGGAAGGTAGGAGAGACATGAAGGGGGGGGGGGAGAAGGATGACTTAAGGATCCGCAGAAAGAGGGAACAAGGTAGAGAAGTCGAACGATACTACGAACAATGCGCCAACCGGGTCCGCGCGTCCTCTCCCTCTTTTTTTTTCCTTCCTCGTCTCTGTTCTTCACGCCACGTTCTCTCGTCCTTCTTCCCTCTCTTTCTTGTTCTTGTTTATTATTCAATGGGACCAGAAGGTGCTCGTTAATTGATGGCACCGGCCGTAGCCGAGCGGCGCGGAAGAAGGAAAGGGAAGAGCGACGAGGAAAAGAAAGAAAGAGAAAAGGAAGAAGAAATCGGAATCGGACGAGAAATACGGGCGGGAGGGAAGGGAGGCAAGCTTCTCCGGACTACCATCGCCTTATTTATAACGCCGGGATAACCGAATTCACAATCAAAATCCTGCGTTTCACGGCATTGATGGATCGCCGTACAGCCGCGCGCAACGTCGCGACGTCTCCGGTGTGTTTTCAAATGAATCCGTCCCCTTTTTCCTCGCGATGTCTTCCGCGTGTAGCGTAAGAAAAGCTATAGAACGGAGTGAAAACCAACCATCATCCAACCAACTTCTCGTCTCTTCTCTCTGCCTTTCTATTACTTTCTTTCTCTCTTTGGTAACATCGATGAATTCTGCCGGGCAACTTGCTCTGTCGCGGAGATGCCTCGAGGATTCGATTTCTATATGCAGGTGCTCCTTCGATCGATCGATTGCGAAGAACCGCAAAAGCGAAGCCTGTCCCGATGCTCTGTACGTAAAATGCAAAAGAACATAAGTCCAAAAAAAGTTTGTAATATAAATATGAACTTAATATGTAAGATCGAAGTGCGCCGAACTGTAAATGCAAAGTGCAATTATGTATTGGAACGACAGAGAAGAAATTACTGAGAAACAAATTGATTAATGAATTTTTATTATTTATTTTTTAAAAGAAGAAATTTTAGGAGGCATAATTCTAATATTTTAAAATATACATTACGTAGTCTTAAAAATGTGACGTAGTCTTAAAAATGTGACGTAGTTTTAAAAATTTGTTGACATAAATTCTCGTTGCTTCAATAAATTTTTATCCCAAAAAGTACAAACTTTATATGTCGCGTTACAGCAATTTTTTTCTTTTACGTAAACTTTCGTTGTTAATACAATTATTGGCTTTTGAATAATCATATATTTCCGTCAGAATTACTTTATTCTATGCAAAACTTACATTATTGGTATTAATGTGCCTTACTCAACAATTCTCAACCTACTTTCTTCGATTTCTCGAATATGAATATGTTTTTTTCCAATGTGTTGTGCGACAGAATGTAAACGGGGACACGCGCAGATACCCGATGATTATGCGCCTCATAACGAACCTAATTAAGTCCGAACTTCGAGCTCGTAAAGTTTCATGGCGAAATAAAGATACATTATCGATCAGTAATATGCAGTAAAAATAATGATTGCTTAATGATACGCTAAAAGCGCAGCCTTCATCAATCGGCGAGCCTAAAGCGAAACCAGCTGAACTTTTTGTTCAAGCATTTTTCAACACGTGTGTGAAGAATAATTTTCATACATTCAACTCTAATAACAATTATTTTAGTATAATTTTTAGCTCATTATCTTACCGTATCTTTATTAATACTTATCAGTCTTTCAATCTTTATATAATATCATATTTTTCATATAAATATATATAGTTAAAAATTTGAAAATGTAATTATAAGTACAAATTATTGTTCAAAATTGAAAGAATATTTTTTTATTATACATGTTGATATATTATTTTATAAGACACTCCACTTCTGTCCGAGCTGTCTTGTAACGAAAATTATTTGCAGGTTGCTGGGCCGCGGCTCCATGCACGTATTCTCCAGCGAGCAATTTCAAAAGCTAATGGACGCAAGCGGCTTCACCGGCCCCTGGCATTCCTTGGTGGACCTCGGGGCAGGTGATGGCGCAACCACCGCCCACGTGGCGCATCTCTTCGAGAAGGTGTACGCCACGGATATCTCACCCCCCATGAGATGGGCTCTTGCGAAGAGAAAATTCACGTATGTAAATTCCCTCAAGCAACGGTGAATTTTTTATCTTTCACGATCTAATTTGTTAAATATATTGTTGTTGTTTGATTGTAAGAAAACACTATCAAAGTTTAGAATTAAATTAAAAATATCGTGTTTGTTGTACATAAATCTTTTTTACTACAATAATGACGATAAATTGTTTCGATAAAAAGTCGATGTATAATCGTAATAAAAATTCCTTTTTTTTTCTTATTTGTTATGATTTTATTTCTAACTTTAAAACTCCTAAAATTAATTTTTTAGCACATTATTTCAGTCATCCGTTTACTTTTTAAAAACTAATACCGAAACTGGTTTTACAAGACTTATAAAAAAAATTTATATATAAAACATGACATATAATTTAATTCCTCTAAAACTTCGACGACGTTTTTGAGAAACCCAAATAATAAAATATATGCTTTCGAAATCAAAGATTATTATTATGTATGCAAAGATTGTCCGATCTGAATATTCCGAGAAGAATCCCCACTGACTTGGCGGGAATTTTTCAACTACAAAGCTCCCTTGTGAACGTGGAGTCGCATATGCAAGAACGTGAAACAGATTACATTCTTCGAATCGAATACGAACGGCCAAAGGTGGGCGGTGGAATCCCCGCTCCTTGAACGTGTATTTGCATTTTCTCGTAACGGCGACACATACTCGGTAGATTCACGCGGCGGGTATTTTATCTTCATCACAGTTAAAAATGCCACGTTTTTCAATTCTCTTTAATAGTTTCAATTCTGAGAAACTTATTAAAATCTCTGCATCGTCTATCTATTTTTATCATTGAATGAGATCCTTGAATCGCTACATCTTCAGTTAATGAACTTTCTAATGGGCTTGCAATCAATTTTCTTATCGAAATTGATTTTTTTCTATGCGAAAATATAATTGACAAAAGAATTAGTGTATTCAATTTACGCGACGTAATTAATGTGACGCAAATTCTATCAGTAAGAGATCCAATATACACAATCGCGGTCACTCGATACAGATGGATCTCCGATAATGTGAGCGCGCGCGCAATTATGTGCGTTGTTCTCGATCGAATTGCGGGGCCGTTACAAGCAGTATTATTATGGTTGTCTTAAAAACTTCATGGGTTGGGCTTCATTATAAAGTGAGATAAGATAATTGATCAGCAGGCTGCGGCCGACGACGCATAAAGCGGCACTTGTCGACGCTCGTGTCGATACATAATATCCTCCGCACGGTGCGCCACTAACAAGTTTATTGCGCCGAATTGATTGGAGTAGAAATTTACGGTGGTTTTACACCCGGAGCGGAGCGGGCATCACCATCTGGGTGTTGCCGAGTCGCCTCTCGGCGTGGGTCACCACTCGAATTTTAAATGAGCATCCGCAGGGTGCGATGGACTCGTAACGTTTTATAGAATCCGAGCCATCTCCGAGCACCCTCCGGCTACTTTGCGTAAAATTAACAAGGGATTAAAGTTATCAATTTGCACGCCCGAGTAGTTGCAAAATAATTAGTTATTTTGTCCGAGAAAATGTTCAACTTTTGACAGAACAACTTGTAATATTTTTGAAAAAATTCTTAATTTTTTTGTACAATAGCCACTAGAGAGCAATCGGAAAAAAGATTAGCTAAGTTCGCGGAAAGATCACAAAACTGAAGTAGAATTTTATGTGCATGTTAATAAAAAATTTGCAATAAGAACCAATTTTGAATTTTATTGGCATCAGTGAGTAGCAAGGAATTTTCTCACTTGACTCTATCATCAAATAATTTACATTTCTCTTTTTAGGAGTAAACTTTATTTAAATAAAAATAAGATATAAGCGTATATGCTACGTGAAATATGCTAGAATTATACAAAATATAAACATTTTCTAAAGTACACAAAATCTCTTACAGGGTACTGAACGTGGAGAGATGGCACCTGGAAGCCGGTCCTTTCAATGTCATCCTCTGCCTGAATCTTCTCGATCGCTGCGACCGTCCAAACACCCTGTTGAGACTACTGAGAAACTCGCTGGCACCCGGCGGCAGACTGGTGGTCGCCTTGGTGCTACCGTTCAGCCCCTACGTCGAGGTTGGCGAGAGAGGTAACCACAAGCCGTCGGAGTACCTGCCGGTGCGAGGAAGCGGGCTCGAGGCACAAATAGCCGGACTGATCGACCGTGTTTTCACTCCGCTGGGTTTACGATGCCTCGTCTGGAGCAAATTGCCGTACCTCTGCGAGGGCGATCTAGGACAATCGTACTACTTCCTGGACGACGTGATTTTCGTGCTGGAGACGCAACCAATTAGTACGCGATCCTGCGAATTCACGATGGACGACAACGGTGTTTCGTTGCGAAGGGACTTTTGAGATAGCCGTGCGGGCTCTGTGTACAGGAGTGGAAAGAGTTGGAGGGGGAGAGAACGACACAAGGCGAGTTTCTCACACTTGTAAAAACTTTAATAATTGCTGTCATGAGTTAGAATTATGCGAGAATACAGAAGAGCAATACTGGCAAGCGACGACGAGCTTAACGTGCAGACACAGCGGTTAGCGTTTGGTGTACGAATATCGATTAGCGATCCGAGTTTAAAAAGGGAACGACGGATCAACAATAGTGCACATTTTACAATCATTTATCATGTGACTGTCGAATGCGGTGCGGGAAGGGTCTCTATGGTATAGATATGGTGTGATAAAATATTGAGATTCGGAAACGAAAGCAGTACTTTTTTCTTTCTCCTTTCCACATACATGGTCTGTCTTAAAAGTAATGAGACTATTTTTGGCGGGCCAGTCAGAAGGGTCGGGGGATGAATCTATTGGACAGAGCAGTTGATAAGGGATGTCAGGTATATAGTCTGACCCAACCTGAGTTGCCTCCGAGCCGTTTGAACATTCAGATCGCCAGCAAAGCGTGATGTTTTAGTGTCGCATCACGGTTAAAAATGCAGCGCAGTTTGAAGCAGCGGTACGCGATAAAATTTTGCGTCAAACTCGGTAAATACGCTTGAAATGTTAAGACAAGCCTATGAGGACGAGACTTTGTCGAAAGCACAAGTGTGCAAATGGCACAAGGCGTTCAAAGAAGGAAGAGAAGACGCGAAGGACGAACAACGCTCAGGGCGTCCATCAACGTCCAGAACTGCCAATGTGACTCAAATGAAGTCTGTTTTGAACTCTGACCGACGTTTGAGTGCGAGGTTAATCGCAGATAAGGTGGGACTGCCGAAATCGGATGTGTATTGTATCATTTCGGAAGATTTGAACATACGAAAACCTGGTTTCTCCACCACTACAACGCGCCAAGTCACTTATCGCTTCAAGTGAGGGAATTTTTGGCCAAGAAAAATGTGGCAACGCTTCCCCACCCATCGTACAGTCCGGACCTGGTCCCGGCCGACTTTTTTTTGTTCCCGAAATTCAAATTCGGCCTGAAAGGACACCATTTTGGGACAATTGAAAAAGTCCAAGCAGCCGCGACAAGTGCTCTGAAAGGCATTTCAAATCAATCCCTGCGCTGCTACAAAGAATGGCAGCAATGCTGCAACCGCTGTATTGACGCTCAAGGATCCTACTTTGAAAAATATTAAGTTTATTTGAACTTATTTTTAATAAAACGATTAATCCAGAATTAGTCTCATTACTTTTGGGACAGACCATGTATGCCTTACTCCGTTTCAAGAATGTTTTTGTTTTTTCTACAGAATCAAATATCCGAATAATTTTTTAAATTGATTAACATTAATAAACGGCGTTCAAAGAAGTGATACATCGACCGTGATAACTGCGGCGGCAAAATTAGCTGTTACGAAATAAGTGACAGAAAATCTTTCAGGTTTCGACGACGATGATTTAATGTAGAACACAATAAAACATATAAAATACGAAACATAAAACATTAATGAAATGTGTAGCAAATGTAAAACGGAAAATAAATTTACTGCAGCACTGCAACTTTCGCTTTGCAAAACATAAACGCACAGACCTCCTCGTCACATACTTTGAGCAATTGCACGATTGTGTTCAAATGATTAGCAGAGGCTATAAAGATAGACCATAGATTTATCTCGAACGCAACCAATGTTTCGTGTATTTCGACATTCTATCTTATCTATGTCGAATCCACTCTTCCATTCGAGATTCTACTTCCGCGCTCCCTTTTCCACATTTGGCATAAGTTGCAGCGACTTAGTCATGGATATGCTTAATTGCGTCGGTCACACACAACCGACGACGGTAAGACAAACGGCGACGCGTTTGTCTCTTGTTTCTTTTTACGCAATAATAACTACCGTAAGAGAAATAAGTCCATCTAGTTGTTGGAAATATACTTTGGTGTGCAACAAGTTATCGTCGAATTATGAATCATATTGCAGCAACCTCTTTGTCAATATATATATATATATATATGTATGTATGTCAACAAAAACGCAGTCTATAGAAGCCGGATCTGCGTTCGTTTAAACAATCATTATCCGTGAAAAACAAAATAAAGAATCAGTGTCAAGAATTATTCTCCAGGCTTGTTAATTGCCATCGTATCTCTGCATGCACGATGTTTCTGAATGCAAAACAGATACAAAATAAAAAAAAACAGAAGAAGCAGAGTCACAAAAAAATTAATAGTTTACGAAAAAAAGGAATAGAACGAAAAGAAATTAATTAAATTGCACGGTTTTTCAGATCCGACTCCTAAAATGGTAATCGATCGGCACATTCGCTGCATACGTATAGTAAATATAACAGATACATGTATAGAAAGACATCTCCAACACGCATTCATATAAAATTTTGCTATTTGATAGCCAAAACTCCGCATTCTCTCAATGATACACACACACGCAGTCCACAAAACACAGTCCACAGGCATTCGTATGTACCGCGCACTACTTTGTGTATTCGCGGCACCGTACGGCATTTTATCGCTTCTTTACATTCAGAGACCAATGCCTGTAACTTTACATTATCGAGAAAGAAGGAAACATTTTACCATATCGCTTATATGCGTATATAACAATCGAGCAAGGGAAACGATTTTTACCCCTGCAACTGACGATATGCCGTTTTTTTTTTATTTTTTTTATTTTTACGCCGAGGCACAGCGATTGATCGAAATCACAAACGCAGTCCCCCTATTCGCAGTTTCTCCCGCAAGAATAAAAACGTTTCTGCGCAATATAATACTTAGTGCACGGTGAAAAGTCTTTGAGCGTCAGTGCAAATCACATCCTCTTAAGAATCCTCTAATGACGTAACGATTTCGTTCCATTTTCCTTTACTAGATATATTTATATTTATATATTAAGAAATAATTTGTTTCTTAAAAAATACCTATGAATTGACCAATGACTTTTTTTTACGTGCACACCGCATATCACTGCCCATGGAGCTTACAAAGTGTATCGCGAATCTTTTTAACATTCGTAACGCGTGCTCGATTGGCGAACAGTACTAGAAGTAACAATAGATATATGCTCATCTTATCCTTAAAAATAAATAATAACGAATACATATACCTTTTCTTTTTTTTCTTCTTTTTGGAGAAAATATATACATAAATCGAAACACCGCAATTTTTTTTCGCTAGTTGAATAACTCCCTATGTTAATTCAAAGTTAAACAATATATTATATCTAACAAACAGCTAAAAACATATAAAAACAAAATAACACCAATAATAAGGGAAACTGCTATCCCATCCTTTACGCACCTATATCGCAAACGTTAAACATTGATTAGTAGCAAAAAGCTTTTGTACCAGGCCAAATTTAGTCTTTGCTTCTCATTTCGACTTAAGTTTTACACGCTTATGTAACAGCTTTATACACAGTATATAAAAAAGCCCTACATTATACATATTATTAATCAGGTAATCAGATTGGAACACAAGCGGCAAAATTGTTAAATCGACACAGTAAAAATATAAATGCTGTTCGTACCACGCATCATGATAATGATTCACGCCGCAGCTTAATCGCTCGGCATCCGAGAAACGCGGGATATTAGTCGATATATTATTCGCCGAATATATAAGCTCCATAGGCAGCTTGAGAGCAATTACAATTACAAAATCACGTTACAGCGATGAAATAAAGCTAGTAAGAATCCCTAAGATGACGCGATGTGAGTTTAGTCCTACATATAAATTTTTTTTCTCGCTACCCACGTTTATCACAGTCCACGCATGACTCATTTTGTCTCTTAGTATTTGAAGTCCTAAATGCCAACAACTTTTTTTTGAGCAATCCATCGGGTTGTTTAAATACGAAACACCCAGCTAATCAATAAACATCTTGTGACTAGAACATCATAGAGCGTAAAAAGACGAACTTGGTCTGTCGCGAGTAAAGCGAAGACGACGCTCAGTCTAGCTTACGCTGCTCGCACAATTCTTCCATCGCACCAGCTTTTCTGTTATAAAAGAACATGTGATATTTAATTAAAAGATAAAACTAAAGGGAGTGTTATGCAAAATGTGACAGTGTTATGTGAAAACACTCACAACGTTGACAAGTAAGGAGTGCCGGTGTGATCTAATCGGTGTTTATCTTCGTTTTTCCAACTCGAGACTGGTATATGCGGAGGCGGCAAAAAACTTCTCAACGATTGTACCAGCTGTATTGTGTCAACCAATGCTGCAATATGAAGCAAGCAGAGTTAAAATCTCTGTAAACTATTTTAATAAAATCAATCTATATAAATTCGTGTCGCGATGCAATAAATACAAAAGAAAACAATTTGTGGCTTGAAAATAGAAATTAAGATATTCTTATTACTTTTTTGTCAGAGCCTCGGATTGTTTGCCATACGGCTTGCACATTGCCGGCCGTACACAGGCTTTCATCCTCGCCATGTTCTTCATCACTTCTGCAAAAGCACGCACAATCTTCTCTTGACCACCTAACAGCAGTAAAGTAAATAAATCAATACATCTCACGATAATTTTAACGTTGAAAAAATATGCTCGACACAAATGCGTACTGATTCTCACCTTCCGAATTTGCAGATGACGACCGAGATCCCTTTTCATTGTCTAAAGACCATGCGCCGTTGTGCAGCGCCAACAGATCCTTATTGGCGTTCCCTAATCCTTGTAAGTTTCCTAAACCGAGTCCAGTGAGATTGTCCAAGTTGTCGAGATTGGTGCGTAGAAAGTCCGTCAACTTGTGATCGGAAATTGGTATATTAGGTATTAGAGATTCGTAATGCTGCTTGCCGGATGCCACTTTCTTCTCTTGCGATACAGGCCGATGCGGAATATTTAATGATGGACGGCTTGGAGGACGTTGAAGATTCATTTGGTTGCCAGCACCTCTCATTTCCGGTAGATCAGCCGCCGATCCTCCTCCCATATGTGTATTTGGATTAGCACTGCTTAGTGTCTACGAATACAACATACGATAAAATGTAAGATGAGTAAGAAAAACTTAGTTATGTCAGTTTATACAGTAATAATAAGCAAAAGGCAGCAAGTGCGCACATAAAACTTTACTCACCGCCTGGAAATCTGTGCTATGAGGAAACCCGGTGCGCAGAAGAGATGCAGTTGCTTCGTTTTCTTGGATGTAGGTCGGCGCCATGTGACCCATCTTCTGAGTGAGTTCCAGCTGATTTTTGTAATAACGACACGCAGGATTGGGGCAGTTCTGCACAACTTCTATGATGAATTCCTTCTCCATTCCAAAGCATTCTCTTCCGATGGTGTAAGATTCCATGACTGCTCTAACTGTACCCTCCAAGCCCAAGTGTAAACCATGTGGCCCATTCATATGTTTTAACATTACAGCATTGGCAAAGTGTTCATAGGGAAGTATTATCTTTCCGTTCTCTCTCAGGACTAGTCTTCCCTGCGAATCCAATGCAACTCTGGAAGCCATCATCCTGCAAAGGAAAGGAAAGAGGAGTTGACGCTTGTGGATTGAATAGAAATAAGTTGCGTTCAATTGCAGAATAGCATTATACTTACTGCAAATAAGCAGCGCTTGGCATCATGGAGGCATCCTTGAATTCAGAAAAACATTGCAACAGCTCCATACTAGGATTCCACCCCTTATTTTGCAAATACGCTTGTAACAACATGTACATCTTCTCCGTTACGTAACCGGCGCTGCTTGGTGTAGCAGGATAACCTGATCCTCCACTTGGTGGACCCATTTCTGTTTGCATACCTTTGGCAACAATATTCTTCATAGTTTCCGCCAGGTCCATTCTGTGCATATGAATAATTGGATGCATAAATCTCTCAAATCTCAAGAAATCTCATTGTATTGTAAAAATTCATTCGGTATAAAAGAACATCATTAATTCGGATCGTCAGACATATCAGACGTATCAGTACGTACAATGAGTAAAAAAAAACAACAACACACAAATAAAGATATATTGATAGCCAGCGATCGACACGCGCCTCGATAATTTCATTCATCCATTATCACGCACGAGTCGCGAGAGAATCATAAGGCTCACGCCGATAAACGTCAGAGGGTATCATCATCGAGGACGTTGCCCCGTAGATTATCGCCGTACGTCGAGCACATACTTGACCACGACAGTCATTCGTCTCGCTGGTTGAGATTGCCGAATGCGCGGCGATGCTCGGGCGAGTCGCACCCGTCGGCATCGTCGCGGCGGTTGGCGGCGGTGGCTCCGGTGACCGTTTGCCCTCGGCCTGTCGCGAGCGACGCCGAGCATACACAGCATACGGCCATTGTTATCGCCGAGCGGGCCGAAGCGAGTCGGCGGAACCGATAAAAAAGTGCTCGGCCGCGGAGCGGAGCGTGCGAGCGAGCCACCGCCCCCTTCCGACAACGCGCGGGGGGAACCGCCGAACGCGAACGTATATACCTCTCTCAGACGTGCACTCACCCCGGTGCCAGCGGCCACCGTTGTTGCACTCCACTCACGGCGAAGCCGGGTAGCCCTGGGAGCCCGTCCGTCGCCGCTAATCGCCGCTACTCGACATCGCCTAATTAATTAAGCCCCCGGATCACATTTGCAAATAACATAAATCGCGATAATTATTTCCGTGAGGGTCGCTTGCACGGTCCGCCGCCAGGGGCGCACCGCATTCTACGCGCTTTTCGACCGTATGCATGCTGTTTGTGTGTGTGCGTGCTGCGTGCGCGCGGTCGGGGTATGTCGTGTCCCCGCGGTTTTGTGTGTGTGTATATGCGTACACGGTCGACCTGGCTGCGCTTACGCGACGCCACTTTGCGCATTTATCAATATTACTTTTTGCAATTGATATATTACGCCGCGGCCCGGCACGGCACGCCACGGCGTACGACGAATTAGACCGGCGCCGAACGCGCCGCGTTTATTCGCGCACGCCGCGACTCCGAAAATCGCGCGCGGTCGTTGAACCTCGCGAGTAGCTCTGCGAATGTACGTCGTGTAATACGCCGGGACGAGCTTTCTTTGCATTCAAAGAAAATGCAATTGTTAGCCTTTCGGAAAGCATTTATTCCTTTTCTCTTTCTTTTTGCTGACAGATTTTTCTACAGGAACTTTTCCCCAAGTGTTCAAAATATCTTCTTCATTTATTATAATATGAAATAATACGATAATCTGCAACAAGAATCGATCAATATTTTATTATGCTATTGTGATATACATTATTTATGCCAATCAATTTGATTACCATATATTCATTAACTTGATTATCTCCCTAAGCACACAGTATGAACCTTAAATACACGGTGCCATTGTTGTGAACTCGATAATAGCCTAATATATAGTAGATACGATGAGATACGGAGCCAATCGATAAAATACCGAAATATACGAGTACTAAAATAGTTGGTCACGCGACGAACGGATGTTCGTATCTACCGCGCATGCAATTAAAAGACGACGATGGAACGATGACTGTTCGTTTCTAGTTCGACGCCGCGCGGCGTCGCGATTTTATTAAACGCATATTATTTCCTAATCACTCACGAACATTGTATGTATATATGCATATCACTCTCATCATTGGCATGTGCGGCTTTCGAACTTGAATTACACATGTGGATCGCAGGGTCGCACACTGATGCCAACAGTGTGCGTGTAAAAGCACGAGCTCACAAATAGTGTAAACATGGCCTCGCGGTACAGTCACGGTGTTCAGCGAGTTTTAGCGAAATTGGAGGCGTCGATAAACTCGGAAAATTATTATGAAGCCCATCAGATGTACAGAACTTTGTATTTCAGGTAAGCCAGCTGAACCGATCGCCGCGCGTCGTCAAAGCGTGCTTCCGCTCGCATAGTCCTCCTGTCGATCTAACCTCATCTTCTGTTTTACAGATATCTCGGCCAGAGAAAATATTCGGAGCTTTTGGAATTGCTATACAATGGATCGATGCTTTTATTACAGCATGAACAGGTATGTCCAAATTGTCCAAGTGTCGTAGTGTTTTACCCGAAAGATTTTCACATTTAAAAAAAATGATTATATTAGAATTTTCAACAAGGATTTTGTACATTTATACGTAGTTGTGCTTTTAAATAATCATATTTAATAAATTATATAATATTTTGAACGTGATTAATAGGAGAGGGAAACAAAATAATGTTATGATTTTACATAGTAATCATACATTGATTGTAGCATGCAAGTGGAGCCGACTTAGGAATTTTATTTATTAATGTCTTAACACAATCTGGGACGGAACCCACGCAAAGCTTCTTTGAGAAGATTACAAGCTTGTTTAGCTTAATGAGCCCTACTTCTCCAGAGAGGGAAATGTTTGTGCAATCAGCACTTAAATGGAGTACAAAGGGTACAGATTATAAAACTGGTCATCCAGATTTACATCAAAAGGTGGCTCAAGTCTTTTGGAGAGGTAATTGCTTAAGAAATTTTAGAGACACAAGTCTCAAATCTTGCGCATGCTACATGTATACTTATAAACTTACCTTTTTTCTTGTTTTATTAGAAAAGAATTATATAATGGCAAGACAACACTTTATACATAGTAGAGATGGTTCCGGATGTGCAGCCATGTTGGTTGAACTTCATGAACAACGTGGATATGTGAACGAAATAGATCTCTTCATAGCTCAAGCAGTTTTACAGTACGCATGTTGATTTTTTTGCTATTTTAATCCTACAAATATATACCACTGCGAAATAATATAGTAAAAGGAACAAGAAACGTATAATAGTGTAAAAGATTGTAAAATATTTTATTTAACACTTTATATATCATGACTTTATTGCAGATATCTTTGTTTACAAAACAAAGCAACGGCACAAGAGGCCTTCAATTCTTATACTTCAAGGCATCCAAAAATAAATAGTGGCCCCCCATATCTTCTTCCTTTGTTAAACTTCTTGTTTTTTCTTCTCAAAACAATTGACAGGTACGTTGCATTCTGTAATGTTCGAACTACTTCTGATTGTACAAACATATCTTACATTTTTCTCCTTGATCTGATTTTTTACAGTGGTAAACTAGCAATGTTTACAATTCTTTGCGAACAGTACCAGATATCCTTAAATAGAGATCCATGTTATCGACAGTACTTAGACAAAATAGGCCAACTCTTTTTCAATATTCCACCTCCGCGTCCACGTAATCAAGGATTATTCGGCTCATTGTTGCAATCTTTCTTCAATGGCCTGGAGGACGATGATTCGGATGATGAACAACGAAATACCGCCTCGACCTCGCATGCTGCCCAAGAACTTGATTGATTAAAGGTGAGACAACACTGTGCAGTGTGACGCTAAATATATGGAATTTTTTATATATTATTTCTCGACCCAAATACTTTTGCCAACTGTGTTGTTCAATAATAAATTTTCAAATTGTGAACATTATAACTAAAAGTGAAATTAAAAAAAAAAAAGAAAAAAGCTAGTAATACTTCTGGTCTGTGTATGTAGATCTTTGGAATGTGAAAGTATGTGGGACGACTCATGGAATTTATCAAAGTTGTATGTAAACTGAATTCAGAATAGTGCAGAGATATGCTAATTATTTATACATATCTATGTATACTCTATATTTTCTTTAATTAAATCAAACTTATACGGATGTGCAATAATGAGGTGCGTACTTTTGCATAATATAGTAGCTGAGTCTATAAATTGAGTATGATATTTAAAAGAAATAATGATGTGTAAGATTTCCAAATAATTCGAACTTTAATTAAATATAACATTTCGCGAAGCGAGAGAAGAGCCAAAAAAAACGAAGTTGACTTTTCAGTAGTCAATGTTCACGGCAAGTTATCTACTTTGTATATGCTGTTATGAATTCAGCAACTCTACTTAGACTTTGAATAAAATCCTTGCCATTAGCTACAACCTGTATACCATGCATATAATCACATCAATGTATACCTGCGTGTAACTGCTGGATCAAAGATTTATTTTATATAAACTAAAATGCGTGAGACAAATGAGTATCACGTAATTATAGCTTTCGATAAAAAGAATTCTTAACGAAGATTGCTTGTTGCTCCGCATCGAGAAAATAAATTATACTTGGAACAACAAGCGATATATTTATTTATCGAATTCTACACTGATATGACATGATTATTTAAAGCTCTAGAAAGAAGCAAACACTTATACAGATGTTTAGTTAAGGAAATAAAATGATCAATTATCATGTAATGAGAAAAAATTCTTTACAGTATTAATTAATAAAAATATAACATTGCTGTGTACTAAAAATGAAATGGAAGCATAAGCATTCAGCTAATAAATTTAACTTTGTAATGAATATAGAAACCGTGTAAGTACATCGAGTATCCTTTGATTTTCTATCATATGTTATTTTTATTGATATTAATAGTAATACATAATTATAATTGTCAAAGTTATTGTATTTTACGAATATGTATAACTGAATCGCGTCATTGTTTATATTCGTCGCACATAATAATTCTACACTTTTTAATTAATTTTTTTCAAGAAATTAATTATACAATATTCAATGGCAGAGAGTCAAATTTTTGAATTAGGTCTCGCATTAAGATTTTAGAATGTATGTTTCTAAAAGTGGATACTCTGTACATAAACATTACATCAGTCAGATCACGTGTGGAAATGCAGGATTAGTATTTTAAAGAATTAATTTAGGTCTTACATTTGTATAAATTACTTGAAAAATATAATAACAAATAGCAAATATCTGATATTATTCTAATAGTGACTCTTTTCTCTTTCTGTCCCTGATAAAACACTTGATTTAATAATTGTATGTAAATTGAATGAAATGTGCAAATAAGTTTATCATGTTCTAATTAAAAAACCGATACTTGCTATCTCGCAATACACCACTTGTATGTACAACATCGATACGTCAATACTCGCGCGTCATCTCTTTTTAAACCATATTATACATAATTGTTAAAAGACATTTTTTTTTATTCATGGATATTTCCACGATTTTATGTTATTAAATATCTACAAATAAATATTTGTTTATCAATCAAGTGATAATGTAAAAATGGTTTATAAGTGACAAATTCACTTATTAAATGAGTAACAATTAGAACTGAAGTGTTAATGCATGAATAAAATCATCAATAAAAAAATAATATAAATTACGGAAAATCTAAAATTTTGTTTTATTTTGTGTTTAATGTTATGTTGTACAAATAGAGTACAATTTTAAACTTAAAAGTTTAAAATTATGTACCTGTAAATATTTTTATAAAGTATTCGTTATGTGAAAAAATAACGTATAATAAATAACGAAAGGTTATCGCGTAGGATGTGTCGCAAGAATCCGAGAAAACATGTTGATAGGCCGACACAGTATTATAAATTTGTATTCTGAGCTTAGTAAGAACATACACGTTTCTTTTTGAGATATCACACATTACCAAAAAAATATAATAATTTAATAAGAGAGCTATACACACATGCATACATACATATTTATAAACAAAACTATTAATGTTAAATTCTCGATAGATTTGTGTAGATCAGCCACATATTTATATTGTATAGGAATAAAATCTAGAGAAAAATTTATCATGCAATTTCTATTACAGGGAAACGTTAAGTAATTAAAAATAAACGGAAATATATGTACTTTTATTCATATAAAAGATGTTCTTTGTTTTCGCGAACATACAATTTGTATAGCAAAATATAAGTATATGTTCGAATATATTAAAAGTCATATTTTTTGTTATTTCGTAAATTATGATATCATTTTGTACAAAATCATAGAGCATCAGAATAATTTCAAATATATGATTAATGATATAAAAGTATTGCGAAACATTTCGAAATTTACATTAATTGAATATATTACAAAATATTAATATATTTCGTGACCAGGAATTTGAAATTGCTTCGAAAAGGTTTCGACTTCCTCTCTCAGACTCGCAACTTGTGCTTTAATATTCTCGTCCGTATTTAATACTCTCTTGAAGTCCACCAACTTCGGTCCGGAAATAGCACTCACTTTCTTCGAAAGTTGCAGTCCTACAGCGAAATAATGTAACATTAATTATAATCTCGTTATACGTCTAGATTTAAGTTGCAACGTTAAACTCATTAGTACTCAGAAACTGTGTCTCGAGAAAAAAATGTAACAAATCTATCACATATTATTTCTCGCAATTCACTGAACATTAACGAGTTTTCATACGATTCAGCGTTACCTTTATCTATAAAGTCCACGACTTTGTCGATGTCTTTCTCGACTAAGCCACGAGTGGTAAGTGCCGGCGTTCCTAATCTGATACCACTAGGATTCAATGCACTTTTGTCACCGGGAACAGTGTTCTTGTTGCAGGCAATGGAAATATCCTCCAAAATCTTCTCCGCCTTCGAACCGGTGATACCGAAGGAGCGTAGATCCACCAACAACATATGAACGTCCGTGCCATCGGTACTGATTTTGTAACCACGCTCCTGCAAACCGGCGCACAATTTCTTCGCGTTAGCCACTATCTGCTTTTGGTAAGCGACGAACTCCGGCGTTGTCGCTTGTTTCATAGTAGTGGCTATAGCGGCGATCGCGTGATTGTGAGGCCCACCTTGAAGACCCGGAAAGACTGCCTGATTGATCCTACTTTCTAAATCGTACATGATCTTCGTGCCATCCTTCGCAATGCTTCGGACTCCTTTTCGGAAAAAGATAACGCCAGCACGTGGACCTCTGAGATCGAATAAAGAATATAGGTAACGCACTATTTTTTCAAATCACTACAAGAGAATTAATAAAAAAAAAAGTATTACTGTACCGTAGAGTCTTATGCGTAGTTGTCGAAACAACGTCGCTAAACTCGAAGGGGCTGGGTATCAATCCGGCGGCGACCAGTCCAGAGACGTGAGCCATGTCGCTGAAGAGATAGGCGCCATTCTCATCGGCAATCTCGCGGAAACGCTTGTAGTTGAGACATCTGCTGTAGCAGGACACTCCGGCAATGATGATTTTCGGCTTGAACAATTTCGCATTCTTCGCGAGCTCGTCGTAGTCGATGAAACCGGTCTCAGGATTAACTTTGTACGGCATCGATTCGAAAAAGATGGACGTGGCGGAGATCTTCTTGTTCGCCGTGAAGAAGCCTGATAGACGCATGTATGAAATTTATTACGAAATGATTTTTAATCGATAATATATAAGTTTCATTGATTTTCTTCGCATTTACCGTGAGTGAGGTGGCCGCCGTCGGGCAAATCGAGACCCATTATGCGCCCGTGAGGCTCCAACAGACCCGTGTACACCGCGAAGTTCGCCGGACTTCCCGAATAAGGCTGCACATTACAGCCCCATTTTGCCGGATCTAGATTGAAGGCGTCCAGAGCGCGTTTTTGCGCCAGTAATTCGATTTCATCGATATATTCGTTTCCACCGTAGTACCTGCAAATTAGTCAATAATGATCATTTTGACCAAACGATCGGATTCTAAAGAACGTGAAAGAATTTTTTGAAGAATATAGAAGTACAAGAGATACAAAATCTCACCTTTGACCGGGCATTCCCTCGCTGTACTTGTTATGCAGACACGAACTCAGGCACTGTAACACACTGAGAGATGTAAAGTTTTCACTGGCAATCATCTCAAGTCCGGATTCTTGGCGGTTCTTCTCTTTCTTCATCAATTCAAAAAGCTCGGGATCGGCATCCCAAACATTTTTATGGAGTATTCCAGCCATACTCTGCAATAGTAATAATCTTTATTTTATATTATCTATATTTTGCTACATAATATCGATTTTTTTTTACATTTTTATATAATGGACTTGTAACACTACAATTATTATTTAAATAACTAGAATAGTTGGCTAATTAAATTCTTTTATTTTTTTCGTAAGTTATCATTACCTTGTGATAAATCTACAGAAATGAATCGAATTCTAAACTTCGTCCAGCCACACTTTATATTTATCGAAAAGTGAGTATGTTACTTCGACTGCGACCTAATGTTGTATAAAACATCGCACTGCATAAGTTGACTCAGATTTCAGAAAAGTTTAAAGTTCAATTCAATCTCCGTATGATAACCCCACGCGTAGTATTATCACAAATTTGTAGACAACATGTTCAAATATGACGATCAATCATATTTTTTTACGTTTTTATAGATAATGAATAAACAAATCTTACCAATAACTATATAAATATATTGTGCGATAAATGCAGCAACGGAGGACTCAAAATTCTTCGCAATCAATTTCGTTTTGAGAAAACTAAAAGCATGATATTGGGATCGTTGATTTGTAAAAAAATTTAGGAAAATAAAATACGAGAATACGACGTTACAATAGTGAAGAAAAAAATCCATTTGAATACACATTTTCGAACGCTAAAAGTTTTAATTAAAGAAATTGTTTAAATTCATTTATAAGCTCTTACTCTATAAAATCTTATCGATTAATATATCCAAATACACCAAAAATATCTCTAGATATATAGCAATGTTTAATTTTAACATATCAAAAAATCAAACGAATCTGCATTCATTTTTCTAATTAATTTAATATACTGAATTTCTATATCGGAGTAACACGTTTAAGAACGGTGGCCCTTGTTATTTAGTTACGGCACTGTCATAATCTGTGCTAATCAAGCACAATAAGAAAATTACAGTATGACGAGTCAAATCATAAAAAACTATTTAATTATATAACTATTCCTTCGATTATGCGAATGTATCTATGTTAAGTAGCCAATATATCTACAAATTCTCTAAAAACAAAATTACTTAGCAAACACAAAAGTGAAACAAGTTCGGCTTTTTGAAAATTTAACTAGATTCGGTAATTTCGAGATTGCAGAAATGTAAAAATCAATTGCAGGCAATATTTATGTAACAATTGAACAATATTCTGTCACATTTGCTGCGAATGTTAATAAGAACGTACTTACATGCTTCGGTGCGTAGCACGTGGTCGAGTGATGTATGTTTCTGCCGTGTAAAGGGTCGTAGTTCAGAACGTGTCCTTCATCGATTATATTCTTCATACGTCGTTTCCGGACGCGTAGTAGATTCTCGACCAATTGAAGACCACGTCGGTTTAAACTCGACCAGTTTCCAGCCATTCTGGTGCATGTATGCACATAACCACACAACACTAGCAGAGTCGAGGTGCGTCGTGTTCCTCGTGAGATCGTGTTACTCCTTTGTATCTACCTCTCTTTCTCCCTCTTCTTTCTTGTGTACCGAATTCACAATAATTTTTTTTTTTACGAAAACCTCTTTGAAATCACTGGCAAACAGGCGTAATAGCGAGGTGAGTCGCTTCGACGGCGAGCAAGCTGGAGTCTTATAACAGCGAGACCGCGGAATTCGAAAGTGAGTGCACGATCGATGACTTTCTTGTTCCACACACAGCCGTCCACCGGCCAGTCCAGTCAACATTTTTATCTAGAATGCTCTCCGAATGCTTTTCTTTATCACATAAACTAGCTGCTGTCGATGCGGTTCAATCCAGATCTATTCACTTTACTGCGTGATATCAGAACGTTTCAACTTGATTTTTTAAAATTTATTTTTGTATTCGTATTTTACGAGAGCGGTCAAATATAAATGACTTCTTTCCTGTGAATATATATCGACGCTGGCAAATGTGTTTACACTAAGTAAAAGATAGCGTCTATTCTTGTCTCGCACAGTCGTCTCGCGATAATTGTTTTTGCATCGCGTTGTTACAAATATCCGAACAGTATAGAATTGCGCAACTCTTTGTTATCAGGTTTCTTGCGAGCGAAAATGTTAAAACCGGCGAAATTTTGTGTAGTTTGTATAATATATATATTGTTAAAGTTATTTTTCGAATAAAAAGGTTTAATAAAGTCTCGATTGTATTTGAACTGTCCTCGTATTTACGTGTCTAATTTATAACCGAAATAATGAGCGTATAATGAGCGAAATAATGAGTATTAAAACCAGCAAAAAATTGTTACCATACATCCGCGTTTCGAGCAGTCATCATCGTCGCGGTTTATAATGTGTGATTGCAGATCTCAATGTGAATGCAGACTGTAACTTTGATAACAGAGAGACTGACGGCCTGAAAATAGAATAATTGATGTAGTAGTTCGCATAACGTTATCAGCACAACGTGTACGCCAGATTACATTCAGAAAAGGGGAATGTTTCCTTTCTCTCGCACTGTGCGAGAATGTAAAAGCTGCAAAAATTTCATAGGAATTAGTCGATTGGGATTCATGTAATCTCGATTCTCCGTTTCTTTCCAGTTCTATATTTTCAAGAAATCAAAAGATTATTTTCAAATCCCGTTGTCAGGTAATTTTCAGGCAAATTTACGAAAACAAAAAAGATTTAATTGTAAAATTTAATTATCCAATCATCTAGAATTCTATAGATATGTGTGTAAACATATGCAGCTACAAAACACAAACAAAAATATATAAACATTCAAAACATTTGTTGGTATCAGTTTCTTTTTATCGTTTATGATACTTTATCACTTTATTTAAAAGTCTTTTATAGCACGTTGCAAATAAATCCGAGAATTAAAAACACATGAATGCGTAACACGTGGACTCACTTTATGACTGACGCACACGCAACTCTTTGCTGACGTAAATTTAATTATTTTACCATCAATTTCATCATCAGTTTATTTTTATCATCGATTAGTGACACAAAGTGACATTCAAATGAAGAAAAGTTAATCGGCTAAAGAATTCCGACGTAATATCAGAGAAAGTTGATTTAAGGATACGTTTGCATACGTGCTCTGCATTTGTGTGCGCAAACGCTCCGAAGTAGTTAATCATAAAAGATAAAAAAGTATATAACTACTGGAGTTTGTGTATGTGTTTAAACAAAAATATTAAAGATCACGAATATACGAAAAATTTGTTGACATCTATTTTAATGTTCTCTTCCTTTTGCGAACGCATAACGCAAACGCCCGCAAAAATACGAAATTATATTTAACTCGACGCTACGTATTGTCGATATACCTAATAATATAAGTGAACCAAAAGAAAAAGTATCTACTCACACCGAAAGACAGCGATATGACGTTGAAAATAATAATGCATCCATTTGTATTGCTTTTATTATCATTTTTTTTATGCATATCTGCATCGCATTTAATTGTTTCGCACTCGCGCTCTCTCTCTCTCTCTCTCTTCTCTCCTCTCTCTCTCTCTCTCTCTCTCTCTCTCTCTCTCTCTCTCTCTTGCGGACTGTATAAAATATCATTATCGCCGCTTTTATCACCAGAGATCTATCGGTAGCATGTTTTCCACCTATGTGACCCGGCAGAGATTCTTTACAATTGATCAATCTGTTTTTCTGTGTGTGTGTGTGTGTGTGTGT